TTTCAGGCCGTGTGCTGAGATTGAGTTTGTGAAAACTATAGACTATGTAGGAAGTGGACCGTGTCTCTGTGACACCACCCATTGGTTTGTGGATTGCCATTTTGAACATCTTGTTTTTTTACAACCAGAAGTGACATAAGAGGGTGGAGCTAAGTACAACGGAACGCTTTTAGGCTACCATAATGTTACAATTAACTTTGATAAAGTGAAGACACACTTGAAAGGGTTAAACTTGTAAGACAAAAACTTGGACAACTCCCAGAAGAGACATCGCCATGGTAGAGAGCTGTCAATCACAAGGTAGCCCCGCCCTAAAGCATACTCTGCTTTATTGTAACGGGTGTAGTAAGGACCCAGGAGCAGTACGACAAACACCAAAGACAGTTTGACTCAACACTTTATTTTCTTCAGCACCCACAACAGGAAGAATATTTACAGGAAAACAGTGGCAGTTTCTCGTGGTCGGGGACAGAAGGCTGAGTGAGTTACCGGGGCAGAGGCAAGGCGAGGTAGTCCGAAACAGGCAGGGTCGGCAACAGGGAATCAGTCCAAGGGTGTACGCGGGAAAGTATTGCATGGAAGCGGAGAACGATCTGGCAGTGAGTGTGTGTGTGAGGCAGGGGTTTAAATAGTGGAGGAGGCAGAGTGAGCAGGTGAGAGCAATGAGCTGATGAGGTGATGAGGTGAGTGTAATTGGCAGGTGCACTGAATGAACTGATTAGGTGAGTGAGAGGTGGAAAAAACTGGATAGTAGCAGCAGAGCTGTGACACTTTATGGTCTATCTGACTCTAAATGGACCATAATGTACTAAATGAAAATCATGCTGTATTGAAGAAGACTTGAAACTAGTGATTGAGACTATAAACACATTGTAACAATGTGGGGGCGAATGTGGTTTAGTGATAGAGCGGGTCGTCCTTCAATCGGTGGTTTGATCCCCGGCTCCGCTAGTCCAAGCCGATGTGTCCTTGAGCAAGACACTTAACCCCATATTGCTCCTTGTGCTAAGAATGGGTATGGATGATTAGATAGTCCTGATGGGCAGGTAGCACCTTGCATGGTTGCCCCTGCCATCAGTGTATGAATGGGTGTGAATGGATGAATGACGACATGTAGTGTTAAAGCGTTTTGAGTGGTCGGAAGACTAGGAAAGCATTACACAGGTACAAGTCCATTTACCATTTACTGAGGTAATAAATCTAGTAAGAAGTCATTTTCTCATAGACTTCTATACAACCAGAGGAGTCGCCCCCTGATTATTCAGAGAGAATGCAGCTTTAAGGCACTTCAGCATTGGATTTTTCAGAACCTGAGGTTGCCGCCTGGTGAAAACTAGTAAGCAAGCACAGATGCAAGGCTGAACAGTCAAGCTTCTGCAACTCCGAGTGGTAGTAGTACAAATGCAAAGTTGACCAAAGCTACTGTAAGAATCAAAACAAGACCAAGCCCGATGCAAGGATCACTATGTCTTGTGTGTTTCGTTGACAAAAATGTAAGAATATTATCTAGTTTAATATCAAATGATCTGGAACATGCCGAGTGGGGTTGATGAGTTCATCTGACAGGGCTGTGGGGTTACCGCAGATAACCTGAATTACTGCCTCATGGTTGTAACCCTTCACCAAAGAGTCAAGTTGCACTTTACATCCATGTCCCTCCAAATGTCATCACCTCATGATAAAAAAACAGGTTCACATGCAGTAGTGTATACTGCAAAATACATGGAGCAGGTCAATAACCACACTGTCCTAACCCAACCTTCATTTGTAACCATGGTGGTGTTTTTTTTTATTGAAGAAGAAGCTTCCTGATGGTGCAGAGATCACTGTTACAGAGACAGACAGAGCAGAGCTCTCACAAGCAAAGAGAACAAACAGCCAAACTGACCTGTTAGATTTAGTTAGATTTTGGAGATTATTTTAGATTCAAAAATGCATTATGTGTAACATAACACACTGCAGGTGAATGGAAGGAGAGATAATTTCCCAAAATAAAGTCTACATCTTTGTCACACATGCATTATTCGCATGCATGCGTATGCATGGCCAATTCGGCCAAATTGCCGGTCTGCCGGACAAATCTTGGTGTCTCAAGTCAGTTCTATCTGTACCTTGATTATGGTCACATTTAAGAAATCAACTTACTTAAGGTTACTGAAGTGCTTACTGAAGAGAGCAGAGCTGCCTCATGTTAAAGAATAAATCCACACCTCGAACTACTGCTGCTGCTGCTGCTCGAAAACAGCTACACTGGGTGTGAAGAGAGAACAGAGAAGAAGAGGCAGAAGAGGCAGTAGGGAGGCACAAACGAGGATTCGACGCTTCACCACACGTGACCTCAATGATGTGACATCAAGGTGAGGACAACTCGCAGAGGTTAAAATGCCTTTGACTAACTGATGAAGCCTCTGGGCCATGTATAATATTAAATATGAAAATATAGTTTTATATTTATAATATATGCAGATGTTACACAGAGCCTTGACAGCTTTTAGATGTGTATGTCTTTCTAATTATATATTTTCACAGTCTAACATCATATGTGTAGTTATTGGCCACACTATGGTAAGAAATATTGTAATAATATTTATATTCCCCAGGTGATTCATCCTGCTGACTTTTTCTGAAGCCCTTCTATGAGGAAACTCTTGGGTGGATCATCTGAAGGGCTGGCTATCGGTACGTATAGTTTCAAAACTTACACCTGCAATCGATCCTTTTCAAACCCAGATCAAGATGAAACTGACTATTTCTATGGTTTTGCACACAGCTAATCCCTGCAAGCGATCTTGGATTTATACCCCTGATGGAGTGCTAACAGTGGCAACAGTGTTGAAAGAGCAAATAGTTTCAACCTGGGGGTTACTCTTCTGGGACAACGAGGTCCAGCCACTAGCAGTGACCGCTGTATTAGCTCTGTGCAGTGTGGCAGCGATTAGCTGGCCAATGGGACACACACAGCTTCCATTCACGTGATGGGTATTAAACAAGTGACTTGTATTTATTTTGACTCTGGGAGACACCTACTTAAAGCAGCTGTAATCAATATATTTTATAATAACAGCGTATCAAATGACTCATAGTGATGAACCTACAGAGACTTGTCATCTGAATGCAGCTTTATGGAGCTTTACAGAGAGTTTCACTTCATTGTTTAGCTGCCTGGCTTTACTGTTTTGTTTCACTCTCACCGACAAAGCTCTACAAGCCCACTGCACACTAATCAGCAGCAAACAGCCGACAGATACAGTTACAGTCTCACTGGTAAACATAGAGCATTAAGTAGTCTCGTCAAGTCAAACTTCGCTTGTATAGCACATTTAACAACAACCATAGTCGACCAATCTGCTGAACAGGCACAAGACACAAATGACCAGAAAGCAAGAGTCCTGCTGGTGCAGATCAAATATTAAAATCAATCCTGAAACGAACAGGAAGCCTGTGGAGGGAGGCCGATACTGGTGATATGTGATCACCATTTTCATTCCCAATAAGTCCAACCGAGAGGTAACAAAAGCATGAGTAACTTGAGATCTTTGGGAGACAGATAGACCTTTACCACGGCTACAGTCTTAAATAGAAAAAGCTACTTTTGACCACTGAAGTCATTTTTTTGTCGAATTTGAAAGGAGCTGTCAAAAATCATGCTAAGATTCCTAACAACAGGTTGATAGTGATAGTAGGGCCCAAGAAGACCAACAGGGCCATCCAATAGGTCAGGTCATACAAATATAACGAGCTCAGAGCACCAGGGCTTTAGACAGAAAAGGTAGCTCAGAAATGAGCCTGAAATTAGGGAGAACAGAGCAGCTGGAACACACCCTGAGATAAGAGAGGTGTTTATCAATGACCCAACACTATTAAAAACTTATTTTAGTAGCTGAGAAGGAATACTTTAGGGGGCAATTTAAAGACTGCAGATGATGCACTACCTCCGATAATAAGGAGAATGTTACTGGCTCAAATTGTTTAAAGCCCGCTGGGCACAGAGGAGACACAAAAGGGTCTGGAGTGAAGGAGGTGGGTGAAATGGAAGTTAGAGAGTAGGTGTCGGAACAATACGATCTGTATCACAAGGATTTAGAAGAGAACTGGAAACATCAAAAAGAACGTCCGCCTCTCTTTTGACTCTCTCCTCCCTCATTGTTAAGTCTTGCATGGCGTAATCAGTGAATCAACTTATGATGATACTACATCCGCCATCTTTCTTTTTCTCTCTCCTCCCCCTCCTTCACACATAAACTCTCATACACACACACACACACACACACACACACACACACACACTCTCTCTCTCTCACCACATGATTGCTTGTTGCTTTTAGGTAGTATGCTTGGAATTGTATAATCAAATTGTAAATACTCTGTTATAATTTAAAGAGCAGGTTCTGTGAATATTTTGTGCATATGTGTTCTGATGATAGCTGGATGTTATAGTCAGTGCCCAAATCCAAGATGGCAACATCCAAAATGTCGAATTTGAGGCTTCAAAACCGCTTCTTTTATACAGTCTATGGTCCGGCTGCTAATAATCTCAGACTGTTTTGGGATTTGTTTGCTTCACTGACTGCCTACCTGTCTGACTTTGGTGACTCATTTGGTACCCACTCCCAAAACTGCTTCTGCATTCAGAAAGATTCTAATAATGCTATAATCAGATACAAATTCTATACATAGATACATTAGAACACATGTCCTTTTTAAAACTGTATTCTGAATACTGCATCGCAACATCGGTGTACACTGCTGTAAATTACAGACAAATTAAATGGAAGAGTCTGTATTTTGTTCCCAAGTTAGTAGTATTTCAGCAAGACATGAACGAATAAGCTGAAGAAATGTCAACATCAAGTGTGTGCTCTCTACTTAACACATGCCCAGAAATAGAAGAAAAGAAGAGGTTGAGGAAAACCAAGTGAATTTTCTCTGATCTATGAAATGCATTTATCTATGAACTGCATTGAAAGAAAAAAACATGTCAAATGACAAAGATGTCTTACCTTTCCAACGTATTGAGGTTCAGGCCCGATGTGTTCCTCCAGAACAAAGAACTGGTTCCAGATCCAGCCTCTCTTGGGTCGATAAGGGGAGTCCTTGTCAGTCCCCAGGAACTTGGTCTCGTTATTCTGTACTCTTATGGATGCTCTGAAGTTTGGGTTGGAGATCTTGTAGTTAGATTTTGCATTTGTATTTATTTGTGAAATTCGGAATTTGGAATGAGATCTAGGATTAGATAGTGTAGGAGGGCTGGCGTTGTAGTAGGTGCTGGGGTTGATTGTGTCGGATGAGTCAGATGTTTGATTAGGACTAGGTAGTAAAGATAATTTAGTGTTGGGGACAGACTCAGAATTTGTCTTTGGCCCGGACTCTGCTTTAGAGTTGGAGAATGCCTTGGGCTTTGGTGGTGGATTGGTTCTGGGGTTGATGTTTGAAAATTGCTTGGGATTGTTTAAGGTATATCTTGCCACCTGATTAGAATTTTGCCTTGAATTAGAACTCTGTTTGGGTGCATGCTCCAGCTTGAGTCTTCCGTTTGAGTTTGATGTGGTCGGGGAGATTGATGATGGTAAGTTTGAGTGTGCCTTATGCTTGTCAGTAAGATAGGACATTGTTTCAAGCCAAGGCTTCAGCTGAGTCTTGCTCCAGTGGTTGCTGCTCAAGCTTGAGTGCTGGCTGGGATTTACTGGAGACATGTGTTTTTCAGGAATGGAGCTTGGCAGTGGGGTTGGTTCTGGCAGTGACTTGAGCCGCGGATTAGGGTACAGGCTGGGGTTAGTGTGGGCACTCAGATCGACCCGGGTCCCATAACAACTCTGGGAGACAACACATAGGAAAACCACAAGAGGACAAAGACAGGAACTTGCAGCCACGCCTGCTGGAAGTGTCATTGTCAAGAAAGAATGGTCCAGAAATGTCTTCCCCTCTCACTTCCACGGTGTCATGCCGCTGTGGGCATACACAAACACTCGCACAAAGCCACAAACACCCTCAAACACACAGGTATACAGTCCTTTTCACAGTGCAGGGTAGTCATGAGTGTGCATACGGTGCGGTCCAACAAATCATTTCGCACAGTTTCCTCAGAAAAATAAAGAAGAACTCCATAATCTTGTTCAATCCGTTCAACTTTGTGTGGACAAGCGATGCTTCTTAATATGTTGCAGTCTGCTTCCTTTCAATATTTTTCCAGCAGATGAGAACCATTTGTTGTCTTTTGTAAAATGAACATAAACGAAGGTACAAGCAGTCCATATAATTGTAGTAAAGTCCATGAAAATGTTTTGCTTCAACAGCGTATATGATATCCACTAGGGCCGAAAGCTAGAGTCCTTTTTCTTCATGTTGAAAGCAAAAAAAAACAAAAGCTGGTTGGTCAGAGGCTCATCAAAGGTCTGCACTTCCTGAAACAGAAAAGATGAAATCCATGAACAACATTCTTTTTAGGTATGAACAAACTCTGATTAGTGCTGAACAAATAAGAAAAAGCCACTCTTTTAAAACCTCCCTGACAGCCTTCTATAATAATAGTCAGTTTTTCAGATTGGAGACCAAGTGTCAGTGCCAAGCTTTGGTTAAAGACAATTTTGTTGATTTATCTCTAGCCCATTCATTTTTAGCTTGTTACTAATTGCCAGTTTGAACATGAAGACAGATCTTTGTAATCACATTCCAAAATCACACAGAAGGGAATGTGTACTCAATGTATGTGTTGTTGTCATACCTAGTGTGTATATTCTTGCCACCGACATCGATGTGCTCAATCAATAACAAAAAAAGTGACATATGCTTCCAAGTGACATTTTAGTAGATGTTCCACAGTTGGGTTGTTCAATGTTGGGTTGTTCAATGTTAAGTGATCAACAATTGACCAAAAGAAGTCTTCCAAATACTAAGCAAGGAATGTCTGTCTATCTGTATGGTGTATGTGGGCATGTCCTCAGCATATCTCCACAACAGTTCATCCGATCTCGACTTCACTTCACTTCACACTTGGCGGGTGTATTGCTGGGGACCCCAAAGGAGTGTCGTGCCAAATTTAGCTCAATATTAATAAACTTTGAATAAAAAAAGCTAACAGTGCTCTGTGCAGCAGCGGGGGCAAGACTTCGGGGCTCTACAGACCGAATCGAGGATGTTGTCTGCAGCGGATTGTTTACTTTTGCTGCTAGATCCATGATATACTAACGTTAAAAACTCTTCTTCACTTCCCAGTGGTCAACAAGCAATGAGCAGTTCTTGATAAGACTGCAAGCAGTACTCTGACACAACTGACAAGGCTACAAGCAGTATTACCGGGAGCCAAGCAGTCAGCCCACGTGCTTGAATCTGCTTCAACTGATTTTTGGTCACAAGCTCCAAGACCAGCAGGTCAGAAGACAGCTCCAAGACTAACCAGTCGGGAAACAGACCCAAGACAAGCTTGTCGGGAACCAGCTCCAAAACCAGCTGGTCAGCCTGAAGAAGGAGAAATATGTGCCACAAATGGTGAAATTGGATCAAACATAATAGGGATGAAACCAGAGCCGACGTGAATGGTGGTGATAAATGTGTGGGAATTGAAGTATTCTTTTGAGCTTTTCATGCCAGACACCATCCTGAAAATTGTTCTGGACTGTACTAATTTGGGAAAAAAAGTGGATTGTAATTGGTTGAATTAGTAAGACCAAATGGAGAATCTATGGAATCCCTGTAGGATGCAGAAACTGAAAGAACTGGAACTGTTTAGGCCAACATTGTCTACGGGAAACTTCCAAACCATTTTCAGGTTTACTCATTTCCATAACCAAGACATAAAACCAGCTCAGTGACAGAGAGACACGCTCGCTTGTCAAGACATTGTCGGAAAAGTGGGTGGACCACCTTCCCCTGTTTGACAACTCTAGGCCTAATGTCACCGTTATGAGCAGCTTATGTTTTTCTAGGGCTGCTGCACCTTCATACCATCTAAACCTGTAAAATATGGAATCAAGATCGGCTTCATCCATATGCATGGAACTTGCAAGACTAAACAGGGAATCCAGAACAAGGAGCCCCTGAGAAGAACCAAGGGATACAGATTGTCTTGGATATGAAACAGGAACTCCATGCTCACAACATAACATGTGGTGCCTTTTTTAATAAACTGGGACAGGAGCTCCTCAAGAGTAAGCTGACGATAGCAGGAACACTACGAAAAACCATGCCAGAGCTCTCACCTCAGCTGTCGACTATATGAAACACGCCTGTAAGTCTCAGTTTGTATGTTTACATGTACGTGTGCGAGTAAGTAAGATCTCTGAATTTGTTTTCAATATTCTATGGTAAACATGACCTATTCCACCATGTCTTTATTATAATCACATTTTAGCAAACAAACAATTTCCATTTGTATTGATAAAAGTTTAAATCAGTGGTAAACGGCAAAGATTTATAAAAGCTGTCTATATAGCTTGTGATAGAGATTGAATGACTATATGTTCAGTATTTTTAGATACATTGTTATGGCTTTCATTTTTTGAAACCCCAATGGAGCATGAGAGTGGTATCTTCAGATGCCACTGTACTTTCCCCTGACACACCATGTGAATAGTTAAATCATTGTATCTCCAAGTTCTACACGAACACGCACTATTTACTGACTCTTCCACCTTTCTACATACTAACTTATCCACTTGCAAGCAAAAAGCTAGATATTTTCATCAAATCATACTTGTCTTCAGTTTCTCAACTCCATTTTTTTTGTTCTGTATTGTTAAAATTAACAAATTAGCATATAAGCTATAAAGGCAACTTGAGAACAACAGCATCTACCAAAAGTTTCAAATCCTCCTGTCAAAGAATGTGCTGCTCTGACAACTGAAATATGCTGCAAAGCCGGCACGCCTGTTGTTGGGCTTGTTTTGTATTTCCTGTCCTTATTGGCAGGATGTACTGCACATGAAGCCTGCTGGATTTATTTGCATTACCTTCAAGGTATATCCCTCCACCTGTCAGCTAAACCAGCTTCACCTACAAGAAAGCATAAACAATATGCAAGTGATGGAGCCTGGCCGAGGAAGCTTCTGCTGAAATGGTTCTACTTTTCTCCTGTCTCTTTTTCGGTTTTGTGGGAATAGTGATTGATTGATGGACAAAGATAAAATTAGAAGAAAATGGAGAGAATATATAACTTATGACCAGGTGCCAATTAAACGAGCATGTGAACATGTGATATATGAGATTAATCTCCTTGTTCTTGAGGAAATTATTCTTGAAATGATTACATATATGTTGTGTAGTTGTTCCCTTCATGTTAATACACACCATTAGATTTGCTGTTTCACACTAAAATGAATGTTGGCATTTGGATTTTGAATTGAATTTGCTTATTCTCGTGACTGTTATGAGGTGCATTCTATTAATGATACGTTAAGGTCCAGAAAACAAATACCCTTGGTAGAATCACTGGATTCTCTCTTTTAATCATAAAAAAACAGCTAATATTGCAAATAGGAGAAGTGTGTTCATCATATCTAACAGTTTCATTTGAAGCATATAAATCATTTAGAACGCAAATCTAATATTAAACCTTTATTTCCTGTCAGTGTGGTTGAACACGTTTATCTCTAAACGATAATACTACTTGGAATGGTTATGCGTTTTTATCCTGTGATGGCTGCCATTCTGTCAGAGCCCATTCCTCTGTTCCCATTGTGAATGCATTGTGAAGTGCCAAATTACTGCAATTACACAATTACATAAGTGAATTTGACAGTCCAGGGGCCAACCTGCCTTATCTGTACATCAAGTTCAATTTAACGTTTCAAGGATCTAATGGGTTCTAATAGGAGGATAACCCGCGTGTACTTAGTGTCCATGGATTATTCATTTAAGGAGGAGAAAGGGTGAAGTAAAAGGTCATATTTTGTGACTGTTTTGTACTCTGCATACTATGAGTACAGAGTGAGCCCTCAGAGTCAGCCAAATTAATTGTCAATATTGGACAATTCAGCGCCTCATGATTTACTTCCAGCTTTCAGTGCCAATGCAGTAACCCATGCAACACACGCACACACACTCTTATTATTTATCTTATATTATATATCTTCATATATATAATAAGACTAAGGAGGGGCTTTCAGGCTGTGGATACTGCCACATGACCCAAGTTTGTCCCCGTTGCCAAAGGAAACAAGCAAAGATGTGGCATACACTGGAGACGACAGTGCCATGTGTCACTGTAAATTCCTAAATCAGTACCCCTCTATCCTTGAAGGGCCTTGTTGACTTTACTTCCACTGCTGCAATAATAAAAGTTCACTCTCTCAATTTACAGTAAAGATGCACTTCTGCTTTTAGCTGCCGTGTGATGCTGCAGGTATTTAAAACACCCAAAGGAAAGAATCAGCCAGCAAAGCATCACTACGGACGTCTTTGTGAAATCATAGCCATTTAGTGACACCTGAACGACAATGTTGCATTCAGACAATAGTTACAGTAAAAAAAAGAATAACCAATGATCAGATTTAACATCATATTTAATACCACATTTTAAAGTAAGTGGAATAGGCCTACAAACTAGGGCTGTACCGATGTTTGTTTGTTTTACATTCAAAGTCTGTTGAGGTTTACGAATGGAGCTTCAAATTTGTGTTGTCATATTTTATGATGTCATCACCCTTATAAAACAATGTTAACATATAATTTGATGTTATTGTGGTTATAGAAATGTAATTTTTTGTGCTGTTGAATTGCTGCTAAACTGCCTCATTATTATAGTACAATACAATGTATACAGTGAACAGTGCATTACAGAGTGAGACTTGTTATTCAATGTATAGCTGAAAGAGGACAGCTAAAGAAAATGATTGAAATCAAATACATTTTTAAATAATTGTGACCTTTTGGATTCATACTGCACTTTAAACAGTGGACTTAATTTGACGGGATATGTTTCATTGATCAAACGCTTTGAACGGCCAGATATAAAACAGTACAACTAACTGCCCTTCGGCTCCAGTCCAAGGGCAGAGGCTATGCTACAACGTCTCTTGGTTCCTGGAGATCTATCAAAACCAATTAGCCATGGATTAGCATCCAATGTTGCTAATTATGATGCTAATTGGAGAGGAATACACAGCAGACCACTGAAGGAAGGCTGAGGCTGTGACTTGAATACTGACGAGGTTTCTTCCAGTTTAACTGGAAGTCAAGGTTTTCCAATTCATTTTTTGATTTAGTTTAACTAGTGTGAGTTTACCTTGAGTCACTTCTGCTTATTCAAAACAAAACATGTCTAATTGCTGCGCGTCGGGGCTTATTTAGAAATATTCAAGTGAAACACCATTTTGTACTTTTTTCTTTATTGACATTTTATGTATTGATTTAGTCGATAAATATACTAATATTGTGAACTTTATTTTTCAATTCATTTTCTATACAT